CGTTTACTAGATATGTGTTAGTCTTGTATATATAAGACGGTCACAACGTGACGGGACAATGAGTAATTGAACTGCAGTCAGACAGTGTGTAATTGAACTGAGTATTGTTCAAGTTGAGCACATGAGACGTTCGTTGAGAATTATAGCGTTTATTATAGCGCGACTGTTGAAATTAAGTGTATCGTAAAGTTATATTCAGAAAGAATAAACCAGTTTTATTTAAGAAAGGACTTGTGTCGCTAAAGTTTCGTTGGAACGAAGTTACGGAAAATTAATTAACGAACGGAGACGTAACAATACTTTATACATGTATGGTCGCAATTTAGGGGCGTCTTCTACCCTCATCCTCACGCTTACGCCCTACGCTTACGACTGTCACATTATAACGCCCCCACGGCTGAAAGGGCGAGCATGTTTGGTGAGACGGGGATTCGAACCCGCGACCCTCAATCCCACTATTCGTTGGTAAAAGAGTAGCCTAAGAGTTGCCGGTGGGTGGTGATGACTAGCTGCCTTCCCTCTTTTCTTACATTGCTAAATTAGGGACGGCTAGCGCAGATAGCCCTCGTGTAGCTTTGCGCCAAATTCCAAACAAACAAAACGAAATTCCAAACAGACAATTGTTTATCTAACGAGATGTTCAATTTATAATATAGTTTTTTTATTTCTCTAGCCTAATGAGATCTTGAGTGTACTTGGAGGATTCACTGGATTATGGCTCGGCGTTTCATTGGTAGCACTCTTTGAATGCTTAGAAAACTTTGTAACAACAGTTTCGTTTTTCAGTAAACGGCAACTTGTTCACAGACGACTCCAGAACGTTCAGCCAGTAACCAACAAGGTCGATAAAATTCGATACTAATCGGAAAGATATTTTTTCTAAACATTTATTTAAAATTGATAAACAATCATAAATGCTTTAAAAGTACAGAATTCTTCGATTGGAATTGATTTGAATAATGTCGAAAATTTGTATTTTTAGTGTATTTCTCGTTATTGATGTTTCTAGGTTTTAAACGAATGTTTCGAAAAGTAAAGGATCCCCTGGTGTTTGAAAATTGAACTAAAAAGGAGTTTTAAGATTTTTATCAGGATTTGCACCATAAATAACCGTATTGTATCACTCGATGTTCATTGTTGATTCACAAGTGTGTTAGTTATTAAAACCCTGAAATTATATTGTTACTTTAAAACAATACAGGAATATAAGATATTAAGTTCCCCATCGTATAATTAAGTATTGTGTTTTTTTTTATAAAAAGAAATTAATTATTATGTTTTCAAGTTTAGTTTTATTTCTCGACCTACACAATTTTCTAATCTATTTTCAAATACCTTTAAAATTAATTCTAGAAATGTATCCTCATTTTAAAACGTTTGTATTTCGTAATCGTAAGTGATACCCAAATTATTTTAAATATACTTTATATATAGATATTATTAACCAAATTTATTTTACCTTTTATTTTTTAATCACGAACTTTCTTAACTTCATAATTGATTGTAATAGATGTATTACGTTTGTCGATAAGATAGAGCTATGGGTGACTGTATTCAGACAACCTCTGTATTTTCGAATAGTAAAAGTCACGCAAATATTTAACAGGAAAAAACGCAAAACAATTATCTTGGCCGTCTAAAAATTTCAGTAAACACTTTTTTAATGGTATTTACGAAGGAAAGAATAAACATAACTTTAAAAAATAAATAAATTAGTTCAATAGAATATTGAATTGATATTAAATCATTACATTTGCAACAAATACATTTTGAACTATCCGAGACTTAAAATAATACTTGAATTTTGTTCTTTCATTAGTTTACTTTTTAAGCGATTTTCTTAATGTACGAGTCTGCAAAATATTTTTAGCTCGTCAAGTGACTAAAACAAAGTATAAAAAACATTAAAACATTTTTTATTTACCTCACCACATGTTAATGATGACAGAATCGCCCTCTGTGATCAGAAAATTATTAGACAACAAGGAATCTATTAATTCAACTAGGCTGTCCCATCCTCTAAAATAAACTAAAACTATTAATTAAAAAATCAAATCAAATCTTAAAGCCAGTCTTTATCATTCATGTAGTTATCAAGCTTTCTCTTACACTCGCTTAAGTGTACTTGCTCCACAACATCTGAAGGCAACCCATCTACCCTGTTGGAAAAATGAAACTGTCTTAGCTGAAGATGACTCCTACCTTGCCAAAATCTATATTTGTGTTTCTTGGTCCTACTATTCTCGTCATTAAGTATGAAAAAGATGATGCATCAACGCTAGCAATTCCTTTTTGATTTAAAAACAATCGAACTGTATTTACAATGGTATCAATTTAATATATAATCTGAAGGAAAACCACGTGTTTTTTAGGAGATGGTTTGATTGGAAGTTTGAAAACCACGTGTTTTTAGTAGATAGTTTGATTGGAAGTTTGAAAACCACGTGTTTTTAGTAGATGGTTTGATTGGAAGTTTGAATAATTCGTATATTATTTGCAGGAATAAACACTAAATATGATAATTTTTCCAGTAATTACACGTTTCCATCAGTACTGATTAGTGCTTGTATGGGGAAGCACGTATTGTCAATACAGTAATGAATTAACAAATAAACATTTTTAAGCAAACAATGTTAATTCAAAAATGACAAACAATTTTGGAGGAAACGTGAATATTATTTCACTTTAATTACAAATCGTTATTTATTTGTCACTGTATTTTTACAGTTTGAGAAAAATATGTGTAACAAAAAATAGTCACCGCCATCAAGAATCGAATCTAAATGTGTTAATAATGAAAAAAAAAACTATTTGTTATATAGAATAAGATTTATTTATATATTTAATTATCAATTGTATTTTACCATATGGTAACAGTGTCATCGTCTTTACTACCGTTATACTTATATACGCACCTGTCTGGTTTGTACCAAGTTACTTGATGACCTGATAATAATAAAAGCACATATTAATTGCATATAATTTATCGATTACGTTTATTGTTATTGGATGTAAACAAAAATTAATTTTATTTTTTATTTTGCTTTTTTTAAAGATTTGCATGTTACACGTACATATCATTTACGATATTTTAATGCTATTATATCTTTTCTTTTTTTTAATGACTATACTCGGCGTTTTTCTTATTATTATTGGTAGTTTTACATAGAGGGCGGGTTAATCGCTGCAGTCACCTGACACCAAACTTTAACGAGATAAATGGTAATAAGTTAGATCATAAATAACCAAAATATTCATTGATTCCACAATTTGGTTAAAGTGATTAAACAAACAAACAAATTAAATTTTGTCGCCAAAAAAAAAAAAAAGAATCCTTCGTTAATTTCACTCACAAATAACCGTAAGAATTTTTTCACACTAACTAACTACACATGTGATAGCTATTTAACCAAATTGTGTCGCAAGGGTAGGTAAATGTCATTTTAAGAATGGATAGTTTCCACGTTAAAAAGATGTTCTAGTCAGATTCGTAGTCGAACATTTTTTTGTTTTTTTATACATATTAATTTTAATAAAGTTTTTGCAGTAAGACATCTTTAAGATATTAACAGGATACAACGGATTATTGTTGTATTCTTAGTGCAAAGCTACACAATGGGAATCAAGACCGAATATAAGCGTTTTAAGTCGGTAAACTTATCACTGACCCACTAGTGGACACAAAGAACAAAGGTCACTGTTGACGTCTTTCGCTTATGAGAGAACAGTGTGTGTGTGTGTTTTCTCATAGCAAAGCCACGTCGTGCTATCTGCTGTCTCCACCGAGGGGAATCGAATCCCGGATTTTAGCGTTGTAAATCCGAAGACTTACCGCTTTCTCACCAGGGGACCGAGAAAAAAGACTTGTTTATTTGTGTGGTTATTTGTAATTAAGCACAAAGCTACGCAATGGGCTATCTGTGCTCTGTCCACCAGGAGTATCGAAACCCGAATTTTAGCGTTGTAAGTCCGCAGACACACCGCTGGCTAAGCAAGATGTATAACAACAATATGTGGAATATCTTATTGTGCTTTAATATCACACATATATATATATCACAACAAACGTAGAAAATTCACATATTCACACATTTCCAATTCGCTTCTTTTGTTTTTAAACCAAAAAATTTCATAAATATCACGATTTTTGTTCAACTTAGTGGTGTCGGTTCACAATATGTACTTCTATACAATAATGATTTTCACATGTTGGAAAGTAATTATATCTCTCTCAATGTTCGTTATCTCATAGCTCAGCCATCTGGGGCCTGGATATTTCTAGGACTGTGTTAAGAAAAACAAACAGAAACAGACAACCAAAGTGACTTATGTTGTTGTTTATTGAATTTCGCGAGAGCTGTCCCTAATTTTGAAATAATAGACAACTAGCCACCAACTCGTGGGATACTCTAACTTAAAAGTAGTATTTGACCATCACTCTTATAACACACCTCAATGTGCGGAATGCGATATATTTTGAAAGTAAGGAGGCTCGAACCACAGATTCAAGTCCAGCACGCTAACAGCTGGGCCACGCTCAGCCAAAGTCATAGCAAGCTAATGAACTGTTAGTGTTGTGAAATAGTACTAAACATTGTTTATTGTTTGGTTAGTTGGATTTCGCGCAAAGCTACACGAGGACCATCTGCGCTAGCCGTCCCTAACTTAGCAGTGGTAGACTAGAGAGAAGGCGGCTGGTCAACACCACCCACCGCCAACTCTTTTACCAACGAATAGTGAGATTGACCGTCATATTATAACGCCCCCACGACTGAAAGGTCGAGCGTGTTCGGTGAAAGGGGTTTGATTCCACAACCCGCAGATTGTGAGTCGAGTACACTCGCCACCAGGCCTTTTTTTATTGTAATTATTTGCTTATTGCTAATTGAAATAAAATCGCGACTCCTGTAAACAGTCGTTTTTGAGTAAATTCGAAATTAGTGTTGCTGTAGAATAACAGAAGTTATACCACATAGACATACAGTAATAGAAATAGCTGATAGAAAGATGCTATCACGTACTACGTACAAAAAAGTGAATAGATTCTACAAAAGCAGATAGTATTACACTTTATTTTCTGCTACAGTACGGCTGTTGTTATTCCAAAGTCCTTTATTACCCTTCACAATTTGTTTGGTTTTTGACTTTTACACTTTTTATATAAACTCATGCAGTTTCAACAGTATTGTAACTTTGTGCAGGCCAAGCCATGGTTGTAAGTGTTTTAACAGATTCTTTCGTCAAAATATGTTCATATCGTGACTTTATGCAGGCCAAACCATGGTTGCGTGTGTTCTAACGGCCTCTTTGTCGTCAAAATATGTTCATATCGAGACTTTGTGCAGACCAAACCATGGTTGTAAGTGTTCTAATGACCTCTTTACCATCAGTATATCATTTCATCACACTTGCTGTATGCTTGGAATAATTATCTAGTAGGTAGATAAATCCTTGCTCATTGTGCCTGTACTTGTCAGCATTGAGGGTGCCATCATTTTTTGTATATCACCAACTGTTGGCTAAGATGCATCAGCATACCTGTACTAGTCCTGCAACATGCTTCATTGTGGATGTTGTACGTTGACTATGATATGGTTCTTTTCTTCACCATTGAACAAACTGTTCCCAACGATTCAAACTTGGTTTTATCTATTAAGAACAAGGGCCTCTCCATCTTTGCTTATTGCACTCTTTATGGTCCGATTCACATTTCAACCTATTAGTTTAGTTTCTTCTTCTCAGTAATGGTTTTCGAGCATTGAAACTATTTCACGATAACATGTATCTCACTGTTCTCGAGGTAGCATTCACATCTTTTTTTGCAGCACTGCAACTGGCAAGATTTATAACTCGAAAGTCGTCTGTTTCGTTGAGAACATATCCTGAGTACCTAACATGACTTTTGGAGAATTTCTGGATTTTTCTACTATAAACGCCACTGGTGCCTCAGTGATATATCTAAGGACTTATGATGCTAAAATCAGGTTTCGATACCCACGTTGGGAAGATCAAGGATGACCTATCATGTAGCTTTGTGCTTAGCAATAAACAAACAAAACAACATATATCATAAATTCTTTCCGAACGATAAACAACATATATTTCATTCTCCTTCCTGTTATACCCTCTGCTAACGTTTAATATATATATATTTGTTTGATAACTTGTCATGTTTTAAACAACTATTTTTAATAAAATATCTCTAATTTGTGATTAATTTAATTCTCATTAGATATTAGTGCTAGGTCTGTTATATTTTAAAAATTACATTCTATATCTAGTCTCTTAAGGATTTTCAAGAATTAAAAGAGTATATGCCAATAATATTCCAACCACGCTACTTTTGTCACATCCATTACTGACGACGCGTTTTGTTCAATCTAGAGCTCATCAGCCGCCATTTCTGTTTTGAATTTTGTACTCTCTTTTTAAATACTGTAAGATTTTTAAGTTCGTTAAGTGTTAATTATGTAAGTTATTTTCTTAACATAGTTGATCTGTCATGTCTACAGGAAATCACTTAGCGCATACAATTGTCATAAGAGATAACACTAACTCCCTGATATACTAAAATGACGTCATTGAATTTTTAATTTATTATTGCTTTTTTTACTTCAGAAACATTATTGTTAAGGTTTTACCTAATAATTTTAACATAATTATCAAACTTAAGTATGCACCAAATAAACGCTATCTTCGATATTACTACAAATGACGAGCAAGGTTAATTCCAGTAAAACAAAAAAAGAAGTAATAGTAAAAAAAAATGGTGTTAAAACAGATAAATAATTTCCTGTTAATAAAACCATAAATCTAATTATGATGTATAATGACTTAAATAAAATTGATAAAAGTTACAGTTCATCAACTTAATCTAGTTCACACTTAAATAATTGTTATGTCTCTGTGTTCGTTTGTTAATTTTCCTTAGAAATTCTTTCCGAGAAACTTCAACGATAAGTCCTTTCTTAAATAAAACTAGTTTATTCTTTCTCAACTAAACTTTGCAATACACTTAATTTCCACAGTTACTTTAACTTAAACACACGCTATAATTCACAACGATTCACGCTTGACTCAGTTGTCCGTCTCTGCCTGTCTGCAATTCCCGTCACTTCTTGCCGGTCTTATATATACAAAATAGTGGGCGTCTGGCAAACACTCGAGCCTTCAGGAACCTTCGAGATACTCATTACGTGTTACCAGAGTCACGTGACTTCCGCTATCGTAACATAATTGTTGTTTAAGTAACTGATAGTATAAACAGGGCCTAAACCACTACTCTGCCATACGCCAGCCTGGTGATACCTGTAATGGAGCGAAAGGCCTCATCGGCTATGGATATAGCTGATAAACTGTTTATTATTATTTCATTATTTCTTATTTTTTCTCACAAATTCTTATAACGAAATAACCAACCTATTCTTGTGTAGTGAAATCGAAGACTTATTAAAAGCCCTTAAAAATTAGCCTAGTATTATAGCTTTTTCTAAAATCATTAGATTCTATTGTTTTTTTCTTTTCAGAGCAACACAAATATTAATCTCTAAAATATTATTAATAACAACTTTATCTCCAGTATTTCTGACATATTCAATAGCCGGAGCGGACAGAGCGCAGATTGCTAATTGTGTAACTTTGCGCTTAAAAACACTAACCTCAGTCAACAGTCAATAAATAGTTAGAAAAAGCTGACTAAAAAGGTAAATAGATTTGACTTTATAATGATTAAACTCAACATTATTTATAATACCAAAGCTCTGTTATAAAGATTACGGATTTATGTTCACCAGTGGTAAGCTTGGATGCTTATTAGACTAAAATTCGGGGTTCTATATTTGTAATGGCTATACTACATATATCCCAAAGTGTAACTTTAAAACAAATTACTTGATAACTTCTGAGTAGTTTTTACGTCTTATATAACATATAAGCTTTCTTCTTTATAACAAATATAAAAAATGATTTTAAATGTTGATGTCATTTATTTAATAATTAAATAAATTAATTAGCAAAGATTTATTGACCTATGGGATATATGCGATTTTGTTATAATTATTGCAAATTATTAATTGTAAAAATTTATAATTGTTTAATTTCGAAAGCAATGCTCGCCCTCTACAAATATTGCTCGCAATTATTAAGACGATAAAACTTGTACGGATAGCTGGGGTCAAATAGGTACAGGGTCGACTTACGAGTGTGTTGTTGGTTTATAGTGGTTAAAACTTGAAATTTTAAATTAATTACCAAAATGTTCAACAAAACATTAAGATGTTTATGCAAACCTTCAAGCTTTTACAGAGTATGTAAAATTTTTTTCTTCAACTTAAGCTAAAAGAATACGTAATCTGCTATAAGTTATAGTATAACTCTTAGTCTTATATTTATAACTTAAGTTATAACTTATACTTTTAATTTTACAATTATTTATACTTTTTATACTATAGTTATAAATATATTATATTACTACTAACCTTTTTATTTTTAGTTCTTGGTCCGAGATCCTCGAATCTGACATGCCTATTTGAAGACTAGCAATACTAGGTCACATAAATTATTTTATTACTGATGTCAGTTTTAGCTGCTATTAAATACTATTGGTATTAGTAGTCATACTCATAGTCTTAATTAATTACTAGTACTACTAGTTTAATACTGGGTTGTTCACGCTTAATAGATTATTTATAAAACTCACTTAAAACCTTGTTGCCTGAAAACTAGTAAATGTTCTTCCTAAAGACTTGAGATATTTTAAAATTAAAGGACAAAAATAATGAAAACAAAACAAAACCCGTCAAGTTTGTTTGGTAGCCTTATTTTTAATATTGTTTATATTATTATAGAGGGAGAGAAATGAAATGAAAGTTGTTAGATTATATGAACGTTTTATTAAAAATAATTGTAAGATTCATAGCCTTTAATTTTTAATCAACAATGCTTTTTTTGGTTTAAATTCAAAGTTCGTTATTATATTTATAATTTTGTGGTTTATTTTTTTAAATAATAAAAATATGATGTATTACTTAAGTTGAGAGGTATGGGTAAGGTCTTAGTTGTTAAGCAGCTATTTGAAAAACTATACGTAACCTGTTACACTTAAAATTGTGTATGCAATATAACATATGATCTCGTATAGGGTGTATGACATAATTTAAGGTGCCATTAATTTAAAACCACAGAAGCAAATGAAAAGTGCATGAGCCAGCACAAAGAAATTAAATATATATTAGCTCTATTTAATTCACTATATCCAAGTAATATACGGATGTTAATTCCTGTACATGAAAGACTGTAGATACTGCAAGTAAACCAACCCTCAGAAGAAGGTCAGTTTAATAGTGTAACAGTGAAGCAAATCCAGTGTTGCTACCAATTGATATGTATTATGTGATAAATTGAAAAATTACATTATTAGTTTGCTTGTAAATGTGTTATTAATTTTACCATTCTGAATTCATTGGCTGGCAGTTTGTTTTTACATGGTTTTTGTGTATGTTTATTTGTAAATTGTTGTTTATTAACTTATATTCTAGGGAAGTTTCTCTGGTTTAATGGCAAGATGTTATGGGACAGTGACTGAAACTACTTTTCAGACAAAGGTAAAGTGAATTAGAAATATTATGTTGCATACCTGCATCAGTTATGTTAATGTACAGTGGTGATCAGGTGAAGAAATAAAAGCCTGGTTTGGTATCTTTACCTTTTTTTTATTTCATATTTAGATTACTTTTAAGATTTCCACTGATCACTTGTACTTTGTTGTTTTGTGTGAAAAAATTTTTTTTAAAGAAGTGTCTTATTATTTTAGCAGAATGAAACTGTTATAGAGAATATGAATATGAAAAGTGCATATAAATGGAAATTTTGTTTTTAATCAACACAAAACCAATCATTATAACTTGTTTACACTTTATATGTTAAAAATTGTTGCATAGTTTTACTGAAGTGTGAAAAAATTAAAGGCGATTTAGTTTATATGTTAAAACTATTGCATAGTTTTACTGAAGTGTGGAAAAAACTAAAGGTGGTTTAGTTTATATGTTAAAAACTATTGCATAGTTTTACTGAAGTGTGGAAAAAACTAAAGGTGGTTTAGTTTATATGTTAAAAACTATTGCATAGTTTTACTGAAGTGTGGAAAAAACTAAAGGTGGTTTAGTTTATATGTTAAAAACTATTGCATAGTTTTACTGAAGTGTGAAAAAATTAAAGGCGATTTAGTTTATATGTTAAAACTATTGCATAGTTTTACTGAAGTGTGGAAAAACTAAAGGTGGTTTAGTTTATATGTTAAAAACTGTTGCATAGTTTTACTGAAGTGTGAAAATACTGAAGGTGATTTAGTTTATATGTTAAAAACTGTTGCATAGTTTTACTGAAGTGTGAAAATACTGAAGGTGATTTAGTTTATATGTTAAAATTGTTGCATAGTTTTACTGAAGTGTGAAAATACTGAAGGTGATTTAGTTTATATGTTAAAACTGTTGCATAGTTTTACTGAAGTGTGGAAAAAAACTAAAGGTGGTTTAGTTTATATGTTAAAAATTGTAAAAGATGTAAACAGTCTTTTTAATGTTTTCAATTATTCATTGATAGAATTAATGAAAAATCTGGCTTATCTTTTCCTTAAGTAGTGCAGGGAAATCAGGCAAAATATCTGTTAGACTACATCTCAACTCCACCTCCAAATTTTCGTCCAATATCTGCGACCTATATCTTTGACTTCACCCTTTTTACCACAGAAAAAGTTGATTCACTGTCTGATTTGTTGGTGCAGAGCACCTGTAAATATTCCAAGGTCAACCGGTTATGTAACCTCAGAAATGTGAATAACAAGCAGTTATTTTCTTGTCGGTGTAAAATAAACACTTGAAATGTTGTGCTTTGTTAGTCATAAACAGTAGTAATATGTATAATTTTTATTTAAATACGCATCAAATAAAAATATATCATAACCACCATATATCTTTAACAAGATGAGGAGACGAAAGTGATGTATTAAACTGACAAATGTAAGTTTCATACATAAAAATACAAAATCTCGTATGCTTTCATGCAAAAGTTTTGGAAAATTGCTTGCGTCTTTGGTAAGCTTTGTTTACAACTACATGGCATTGTTTTATTCGTGTTAAGTCAGTTGAGATGTGCATTCCTAAATCTTTGCAGTAAGGTTTTTCCAGTAATTTATCCTCAAAATATAAAAAAAAAAAAGTAGGACACTTTTTTTAAACTGGTACATGTATAAAT